AATAACTAAGCGTAAACAATATCAAATGCAAAATCCATCTAGATCCGGGTCGGGTCATGAAATTTTGATTTTCGGAACACCCATCTAGATCCGGGTCGGATCATGCAAAATCCATCGTTAGCCATCTAGTTTTCTAAGTTGGATAAGAGATCCTCGACCCAACTAGATCAATCCTTAACATTCCAACCCAACTTAAAACATCAGCTACCGGTATGAATGATATGAACCAGTACACTGCCAATGGAAATAGCATCCCTACCTTAGGCAGTGTAGCCACAAACCGCATCCTTTCGAGGGTGTGATTCCATCTGTCTTGCACCTCGAGGAATTCCCGATAGCCACTAGCAAGACCTCGTAGAGTTCCACTTTGCCAATGCCACCAAGAGGGAGTGCCAACAATTTAACTGAAATTTGGCAGTACTCATTGAAATGATTGAAAGAACCAAAAGTCAAGAAGCTTAGCCTCAAACTTTATCGGGTTAACTCGCCCAATAGGAAAAGACCTCGCAGCTTGACTCAAAGAGATTTTTCAATCCGCTGTTTGCGAGGTTATACTATTTCGAACTCCTAAAGCGGAAATCACTCCTCTCAGGGCCGCAACCCTACAAACCCAATAAGACTTCTCACATATATACATCACTTCAACAAATTCGGCTAACTGCTCGTGTTTAACCTGATTGCGAGCTCCATGTCGTTGACATCGGATATTCCTGGGCTGAGATCACAAAGCATAGTAGCTCGCCTAAATGAACAGATATTATCTCCTCGCTATCGCCCACCACATAAACAACCATGTCGTATCAGGTGGCTTGGTGTTTCGGGTTTTGCGAATAGTTCTTGTTAGCCATTGATTACTTAGTGTTAATTGCTTTCTTATTGGTTATTTTCTTGTTTTGCTATAGTTGTTGGTTTGGTTAGTGTATTTAGTTAGCTAGTCAACACAAATCATAAAAACCAACTACTTTACCTTAGATAGTTTCCGAGTTTTAGTATGCCAATCCAATCTCATAGTAAATTTGATATCCAATTAAAACTGAGAAATTTTGAAAAATACTTCTTTTGGAAAAGACAATGGATATGGAAGAATGGGCAAAACGTGCAAAAGAATAAAGATTTGGCCAAATATACATGACCAATTGGTCAAGACCGTGTGAAGAAACACGAGTGGACATGCAATTTTGCACTAGAATCTGAAAAATTGGGATGTTTTCTCACTTGGTTTCAAGATCGATTGGACCTATCCCGAGTGGTCATGCACTATTGACATTTTCTGAATTTTATTGACTTTGGCCCATTTGACCCGGTCCGGATCCGGGTGCGTTTTAAACCTCTATAAATACATTTTTAGCTTTGTAATAACCTAAATTTCCTCTCCAGTTGTATATAGATCCAAACTATCATTTGATATTTGGATTGATCTTCATCTTTTCATACCATTGTAGAAATGGATTTTTCAACCTTTTATCGTTTATCTTTTTATTTCTCTAATTTATTTTGTTTATGTATTTGTTCTTTATCATGGTCAGCACTTAGTCTTCCCATGAGTTATGGGTTAGGTTGATTAAGTCGATTGATGATTGATGGATGATATTTAGGATTTATGATTTCCAGTGTCTAAGAGATGCTTAAGACTAGATTTGTGTTAGTTATTCAAATACTAAATCA